CAGATGCTCAATAGCTACATGGTTTAGAACCAGCTGTTCTGTTCATCATAATTCCGTTTTTTCCCATCTGTGAGTTATGTTGCTGACATCATTGGGTTATAACAGGGATCAAATGTGTTGTGGAAATGCAAAGTATATTATAGATTCATTATTACTAACTCTAAAGTAATTCTGTGCTGCTTTTCCACCCCACTTTCCCAGCATTTTTGCCTCTAACCCAACTCTGCCCTTGCTGATAGGTTGGCAGAGGCATTGCCCTGCACTGTGTGAGATGAAGAAGCTCAAGAGAGAGGCACCAAGAGGCCAGTTGCCCCAGGTTACCAGCTACACCCCCCACTAAGATTCTTAGCCTGGAAGAATATTTCTGATAATTACTGTGCAATAACATAAATGTTTCTGAACAATTATTTATTCTAGTTCTGAGTTCTCTCATTCTCATCTCTAAAATTAAGACATAGGATTGGTATGAAGAAGGCCCTTACTCTGAAAGTCACTGTTTCTGTACTAGAAAGAGTTCCATCCACTTTATTAAGTTATGGGTTGTGTATGATGGGGCTTGGTTTACTGAGTTTTGCATGAGATGGGTTTTCAAAATGACAGCATGTTACAAAATACACATATTTTAGTGGGTGTGAAAAGGAATGTCTACTGACTTATATGAGGCTGAGCAGAAACTTGGTATTGATATTATAGGTGCATGATTTGTAGGCCTGAACACATAATCAAAAGGGTACTTTTGAAGGAAATTTTGTCATACTTTATGAGGGTTCACAGACTAAAGAAATAATAGGTTAAGGTTAAGGAATATTAATATGTGCATAGGCATCAAAAAGCTGAAACCATAACTAATTAGACTACCGCCTTACCACCAACACAGGGTTTATCAACAAGGCCGTTCCTGACAATTTCAGCTGGATAATTCTTTGTTATGGGGCAGTCCTGGGCATTGGAGCATATTTTACAACATCCTTGGCCTCCACTCACTAGATGCCATTAACACTCTCCCACTTGTGACAAACCAGAATGTCTCCACACATTGTCAAATGACGCCTATGTTTGTTGGGGGCAAAATTATCCTTGAGAGGCAAAATCACTGCTGGTTGAAAATTACTGTTTTAATTTTTTGGTTAACAATAAGCACTTAACAGCTACATTCTGACAGCTTTAAGCTGCTGGTGATAGAAGGGGGGAAGTGAGTTGAGAAGACTCTCTACTCAAGAGAGACAGCAGAGGAAGTTCAAGCTCAGTTCAGAATGAGTCCAGGAAGACGTTTGGCAGCACTATGGAGGTCTTTCCTTGCAGAAGGAAATTCAGCCCTTTTTTCCTTTCATGTTGCCACATGCCTCCTTTCTCTGACTCTCCAGTAGGAAGTTATGTCTCAAAGCTCTTCTTTGGAATTTCACCCTGCCTTCACCTGGATGATTCAGTATTTACACAATGGCCGATGACATGAGAAAGCATCCCAGAGGTGACATGTTTGTTTGCCCTGGCCTCATCCACAGATATGTCTCTGACTCCTCTAACAGCTTTGTCCATAAGTTTCAAAAAATGTAATTGGAAATTCCACCTCTTCTCTTGAGGCTTTTGTAATGATAACTTTGTCCCTATTAATTGCTCATGTTTCTCTTAACCTAATATTTTCCTGTTAGTAGAATGCATGTATACTGAGTGATTTGCTCCAAACTTCATACATCTAAAGGATGTCTTTGCTGGAAGATCCTTATTATCATTTTTACTTAATTTTTAAAACAAAATGTTTGTCAGTATATTAAGGGAGAAAACAGATACAAAATGGTACCATAAATAAAAGGTGGGAAAATTGTTCTATCAATGGAAAGCTAAGGCAAACAAAAGTGAACGATTCTGTCCAATATATCAGCAGGGAAAATGTGATCTAAAGCATGAGGACATAGGCTTGCTTTGGAACAGGACAGCGGGAGTGTTGGATACAGAGCCAGGTCTTGCTAAGAATGATCTTAGAACTGGAGAGCAAAAGAACGAGACCCAGCCCCCAGGAAATGGGACTGGCAGGAATGAAGAAGGAAGCAGTTTCCAGCCAGCTGGCTTGCTATCCAAAATGCACTGACGCCATAAAACTAAGGGTTTTAACTCATGAGTCCTCAAATGTTGTAGGTAGAAGAGTCAGGTAGAGCCTGGACTTACCATGTTGTGGATCTGTCAATACTTTCAGGTGTACTGGAACCATAGACATACTTAGCGTAAGCACCCTTAGGTGAGCAAGGGTAGAAGAGGGCAGGGAGCCTATTCCTAAAATGGACGAACCTCTGACAATGTAATTAGGTTTAGAAGATGTGAAAAAAGCCCTGGCAATATCCTCCATATGTATCAAAGACTGTGGCATTTCATGCAATAAATGATTATTTTTTTTAAGAGTTATTTATTTATTTATACAAGAACCGGAGTACAGACCAGACGCGTGGTGGTGTGAGAGAATTCACCAGAGACAGAGCATGGAATGTTTTAAATGCACTAAAAAAGACACTCTTCTTAAATTTGAGCTTATGACAGAGTAGATTATTCTTTATTATTCAATAGATCTAGTGAGAAACTAGTGGGTCACGCATTACAAAAATCAAAACAACTGGCCAACAAATCTTTTTCAAGTATAAAAGTGAGCTCCTGGGAATTCCTGTGGTGGTAGCTTGGGGATGAAAAAGCAACTTCTATACTCAGGGAGTGTCGAAATCTGTCACCATTTCCCTTTTTTCTTTCTTCCACTGTGCCTAAGCCTCCAAGAATTCAGTGTCAGCAAAAGCAGTTGGTACAGAGGATGTAAACTGCTTTTGGAGATCTTTCCTCTCTGTTTAGTGGAATTCTGGTTTGAAGATGTAGAGGCCAAACCACTGCTTTTCATTCTCTCAGTTCTCCCGCCATTTGACCATGGACTTGGGCTTATTTGTGAAACTTTCCTGCAACCAGAGTTAACTACGGTCTTTGTTTTCTGGCTGAGGAATGGGAAGAGGATCTACGGCATCTAAGAGAATATTGGGCAGATCACCACAAGGGAAGTTCTTGGGAAAATGACTCTCACAGTTGTTTATGTGCTCCTGGCCTGGCTCCCAAGCTCATGTGATTCAATCTGATCCTATTCAGCATATGAGACGAGGCACTGGGCATCACAGACACTGGAGAGAGTTCCAATAGCCCTGCTAAGGCTCTGAAAACCAAATATCGGGGCCACTGCTGGCTGAAGGTGGGCTGGAACTCTTTTTCTGAATCTAGTCAGGTATGCTTCATGCTAAAACTATGTGTCAACATTTATTGCCAGTTTTATGCAGGACTCAATGACATCATTGAAGATGTCCAGCATATAATCCAAATTACTCAACTTCCGAGGAATCAGGAAAGTTTCAACCTTGAAAGATAACATGTAAATTTCAATGCCGCAGTGACACAGAATTTGAAATTATTTGCAAAGACTTAAAACAGCTATTTTAAAATGCTCCAGGAAGCAATTACAAAGGCTCATGAAACAAATGAAAAAAAAATCTTAAAGTAATATTAAAAGCAGATAAAAATTTAAAAAATCTGAAAAACCATATAACTGAAATCAAAAATAACCTCAATAATAAACTCAGTGGATGAACTTAATCGCAAAAACAGGGATATCTGAGGAAAGATCCAGAAAATGTGATGACAGATCAATAGAAATTATCCAGTTCAAACAACAGAGAGAAAAGAGAGGGAGAGAAAAAGAACATAAATCTCAGGAAAATTTGGGATAATAGAAAAAAGCCTAACATTTATTTCATAAAAATCCTAAAAGGAGAGGAGAGTGATGCTGAAAAATTATTCTTAAAAAATGGTTAAATATTAAGAAATTTGGCACAAGATATACATCTACAAATTTAAGATAATGAGCAAATCCTGACCGGGATAATCCCAAGAATATCCATTCCCACAGTATGACGAATATATATATTTATACACATAAAAAACTAATGAGAAAGAACAATCTTGAAAGCAACCAGAGGAAAATGTTCATTGTTCATAGAGAAACAATGATTCTCATGACTATGATATTCTTATCAGAAAGCATGGAGGCCAGAAAGAAGTAAGAAAATGTTCAAGTGCTAAAAATAAAGAGCTATCAATTCAAAACTCTGTAGCTGGTAGAAATATCCCTCAGAAGTGAAGGTGAAAGAAATGCATTCTTACATCGAGAAAACTAAGAGTTTTCATTTTATTGGGAAAATATTATTGGGAATACCCTCTCCTCTCTTCTCTATGCACACTAATTCTATTAAAGATCTTTCACACCAAGAGTATGTTTCTTTTCTTTTATCTTTGTGTGTGTAGATGGTCTAATGCCTTTCAGAGAAGGCAGAACTTGATAGTTTGGGGTCCCTAGGGGCCCCTTGGTTCCATGCTAACACTCTCAAGGCAGAACCCATGGAGCAGCTTCTGGGAACTCACACGCCAGGGGAGGTGGCTAAGTGGCCTTATGGAGCCTAGCTCCAGCTTCAGGGTCAGTTTGGAGGTATATTCTTTTGACTGCCTTGCCCAGTAGGTAAAGTGATGAAACCAGCGAGGTCCAAGGGCAAACGTGAGCCCACTGCCACATTTCTTTTGCTGTAAAATGAATTGCTTGGTAGGAAGTGACGGTGTGTGAGTTAAAATAGATCTGGGATCAAAAGGAGAATAACAATAACAGGTCCTGTTCCAAGTCTGGGCTACACTGTCCCATGGGCCCTGGAGATAATGTTGCTAGTGTTAATCTACAAAGTTTAAACTGGCTGCTCCAGCTTGTGACCCTTCTCATTTTAGGACTGAAATCCCACCCACAGTGCCAAAGGGCACACAAGCATCTTCCTCTAAGACCTCTCTCTGCAAAGTTCCCAATGCTTCATCAAAACAGCTAAACAGTTAAAGGCACTTCTACTTGAATGTAAACTGAAGGGCCTGTGCTCATTGATGAAGGCAAAGAGCTAGCTGGAAGGTGGAGTGTTATTTTGGAACTCCTGCTCAGTGCAGGCGACACAGCTGGGGGTGGGGTGAGAGAAGCATGTCATATGAATTTTCTCACTAGTAGGACCTGAAATCCCGTACACAGGCCTGTTACACTTGGCCATAAGCAGTCCTGCACAAGCCATGAGTCACAATGCTCCTGTTTGTGCCTGTCACAGCATGTGAGTGAAAGCAGCATTCATATTCTTCTCTTCACCAGCAATACCCGGAGAAAGTAACAAAACAGGAAAGTCATTGGCCTGAATTTGACGTTTTTCTTTCCAATGTCTCTTTCTGGGGAACACAGAATACTACTACGATAGAGTGTCTACCATAACAGATGCATTGAACGTTATAAGAACATGTAATAGGAACATTTAATGCTGACTAAGGAGAAAGGGACCCAAAAGCTGGAACACAGAGGATGAGTAGAAGTTGCCCAGAGAAAAGTGTGTATGAGTACGTGCTGAGGTTGATGGGGGATGGGAGACTGAAGAGGGCTCCAGGCAGAAGGAATGGCCTGTGCAATGTCCTGCTGACAAGGACAACATGGTTCTAGAAAATATAAAAGGAAATTAATTAGCCAAAATACCAATTAGAAAGCACTGGCTAGCAAGGGATTAGGTAGGAGGAATAATTAGGGCTTATGCTACTAAACAAACACTTCTACGGACATCCAGCAGCCTATGGAAGGTGGGATGACACAGGTGGGTTTGCATTTTAGGAACAGCACTTTGGCTGCAGCATAGAGAACAGTCTGAGGGGTGAGGATAATGGAGGCAGGATCGCCATACTGGACAATCTGTATGGTAGCTCATTCAGCCAAAAGATGATGATCTAATCACAGTAGTGAATAATAGAGACCAAAAAACATGGATACATTTCAGGGATACTGGGCATCCCTGGTTGTTCAAGGGGTTAAGATGCAAGCTATGAAGCTATCCACAGCCATTGCAGCTTGAAATCGATCCCAAGACAGGGAGGTGACCCAAATGCACAGCAGACCTCTCCTGTCTCACCTGCTGATCCTCTCAGCAATGTTTTTCAGTCCATCTGCCTCTTCTGCTCCCCACTCTGTCTCTGGTGAATGCTCTCACCTCTGGCACCTATTCATACAAGAAATATCCCATTCATACAAGAAATACAAGAAATATCCCATTTCTTGTATGAATACATAAATAAATCTTAAAAAAAAAATTCCAGGCTGCTTAAGGGACATACAGTTTTGAGTACTCAACATGGGGAATGAGAGAAAGTTCAATGGGTGGCACTGTCATTCTCTTGAAGGAAATAAGGAGAAATAGCAAGTACAGAGGAGAACACAATAAGGTCACAGTCAGTGATGTGCTCCATCTGGGCACACCCCTGTGGAAAGGGCTTGGCAGTTGTGTCTGCTGACCTACCCAAAGTACAATAATATTTAAAAGATGAGCAAGAAGATTTCGCAAAAAACCCAAAAGTGGTGAAGAGATAGGAGGAAATGATATTGCTTAAGTAGGTCAACTAACATCACATGGAGTATCAATATCCAGGACTATTATTGAGAAGCTTCCATATTTTCACTTATATTTTTATGTGAATAGTACAGTGTGTCAGTTCTCACACTTTTTGGTTCTATAACGTTGTCTATTTTTTCGAATCATTGAAAATGCAAAGCTGATTACATGGCTATATCTAACAATATTTATTCTACTAGAAATAAAAAATTAGAGAAATTTTAGACATGTATTAATTCACTATAAATAACAAGTGTATTACTAGTTAATGTTTATGAAAATAACTATTTAATACAAAAATTAGTGATAAGAGTAACATTAATGATAAGAGTAACATTATTTTTTAAAAGTATGCTTTTTTTCAAAACTCTTTAATGTCTGGCTTAATAAAAAAAAGCTGAATTACCCTACCTGGTTCTGCCAGCATTCTGTTTTGCTATCACGGTTTATGCATCCTTTGGAAAACTCCCATTTGGTGTTGTGGTATCACAAAACAATAAGAGTGAAAAAAAACTAAATAACATCTTAAATATTTATTAAGAGTTGGATCTTGCAGATCCCCAGAAATGGTCACCTAGGACTGGGGGGCTACACTTTTAGAATCCCTGCCGCACGGCAGGAGAGCTTGACAATACAGAGAATCTCAGAAATATATTCTTGATGCCACAGCCAGGAGCAGACTGGAATAGACCGATTGAGATTTCAAAGATGGTTTTATGAGACGTTGTCTGGTTGATATCACTTCTCAAAGTTGGGAACGAGCCTAAAATGTTCAATCAGTTCATTCATCAAACATTTAGTATAATTTTACATTATATGCCAGGAACTAGACACCAGGGCTCTTTCTGTTCTCTTTGGGGCAGATTATACAGTGAACAAATAAACTAGTAAAATATGTATAAATATAAAGTAGAATTTATTTATCATGTATATGTAAGGATGGCAAATTCTATGCAGAAAAATAATGTGAAGAGGTGTAGGGAAGACTGGAAGACTGTGCACAGGACAAAGGAAGGCCTCCTTAGGAAGGAATTATTTGAGTAACGACCTGAAGGAAGTGAAGGAACCAATTGGATATGTGGCAAAAGTGCTTTCCCAGATTAAAAAAAAAAATCTTTAATTTTCCCCCTATTCCTTATGTAATCAAATCTGTTTTGTCTGGCATTAGCTGCAAGTGTAAGAAGATGAAAGAACTGTTCAGTGTCTGCTAAGTACCAAGCATTTCATTAGCTTTCATTTCCATATGAGATTTGGGACTTTCTTTTTTTTTTAAATTTTTTTTATAGAGGCATGTTTTTCATTTATTTATTTCTTTGTTTGTTTGTTTTGTTTATACATGCACTGGGTACAGTCAGAAGCACGGGAGGGTGAGAGAATTCACCAGAGCCAGAGCGGGGAGCAGAGCAGGCAGAAGGACTGAAGTACACTACTGAGGGGAACAGCGAGCGGCAGAAGAGGTCTGCGCGCCATGTGGGACCCTCCTCCGGTGGCCGGGGAGCAGATGGGGATCGAACCAGCGCTGCAGAGGCTGCAGGCAGCTTCACAACCCAGCGCTCAACCACTGCGCCACCGGGGAGGCCCAGATTTGGGACTTTCAATAAGATTTTCAACTTAGTGAAGGAAATAAAGCACATGTACACGATTCCTCTAGTTGTGTAGTTTTTAAGAACAGAAATAGCTGGTTTGAAATTGCACCACCATAAATTTTTATGCACCGGATCTATAGACTCTACAATTCCCTTTCAAGAAGTACAGATGTAGGAAGGGAATTCTTCATTAAAGGAGGGTAAATCAGGAAATTCGTACCTGGTCACACTTAAATGGTTTACTTGCGTTTACAAAGTGTGTTCATAAACGATCTCACTTACTCTTCATAGCAATCCAAGAAGCTGGTATTATTCTAAGACATATGATGGCCTCCATTTCTGAGCCGAGCTAACAGGTTCAGAAGGCGAGATAAATTAGCTGGCCATGTGGTAGAGTTGGGACCTACTTTTACCGTAATTTGCCTTTCCGCACAGTTCTTCCCCACGCCGCACAGCTGTTATGAGCAGCAACTAAACCAAAAAAAGCGTTACACTCCCCTGGCTCAGCCCCTTCCCTTTGCCAACTGCACAACCAAGGCCGACTGAGGCCAGGGCCGGAAGGAGGAAGTGCGCAGGCGGGTGAGGTCACGCACTTCCGCCCTCTAGGTTTGCGCTTGCGCGCCAGAGGACTAAACCGTCGGGGAAGCCGCCTGGAACTCTGGGTTGGCGCAGACGCAGAGCAACCTCCAGGCGGAACTGGGGCTTCGCCGGCTCCAGGGACCTACACAGCCGGTGTGAAAAGGTGGTGGCACGCGGAGCGTTGCGCATGCGCGGGCAGTCCTCGGGGTGAAGGGTTGAGAGCCGGACCGGGCGGCCAGCTGGGCTGGAGCGGAGCAGCGTCAGGATGGACGAGGACGTGCTGCCCGCCCTGAAGGTCCTCATCATCGGCGAGAGCGGCGTCGGCAAGTCCAGGTGAGGCGGCCCCGCGGTCGTGACGGGGGCGGCGGACGGGGCCGCGTCTCCCGGGCCGGCTGGGAACCGTCAATGGCGCGCCCCGAGTGGCCGCGGGGGGTCCCCGCTTGTGCGCCGCGGGCCCCTCCGCCTCGCGGCCCGGCGGCCCCGGCTCCCGCGGCCTCGCTGCCCGCCCTGCCCGCCCCGCCCCGCGCCGCGCCCGCAGCCCCCGCCGGCCCGCGCCGGCCCGAGTGGCGGGTCTTGCTCCCCCGTCGTGGCGAGAGCGCCCCGCGGCTGCCGCCCGCCGCGCGAGGCCTGGGCGCCGGGGCCGCGCTGGTCCCGAGGCTCGCCTGGGCGAGGCCGCGGCCCCGGGCTCAGGCCGCTCGTGCCCCGGCGAGCTGGAGTCGGGACTTTATCACTTCGGGATTCAGGTTGGACTTTCTCTAAGGACGTGACGCGCAGGGAAGCCTCGTGACGCCGCAGGTCGCCGTCCTGGCCGCGCTGCAACGCCCGCCCCGGCTGCTGCTGTCGTGTTTCATGAGTCAGCCCTGAAAGATCTCTTTGGTCTTCCAGCTGCTTGAGTCACTCCCTGTGCTCTGAGATAGTTTTGCTGAAGCTGTGAGCCACCTTGACAAATGATGGCTCCATTCTGCCGCAGCACAGAAGATAACAGAGTGTTGTTTTTTCTTTCTTGGCGCGAGGGGAGTGATACTGACAATAGTTAGACTTGAGTGTGTGGCGGAGACATGGAGCTCGCGGTGTAGGAAGAGCGTCCTGATTTCGTCCAGGTCTGTGGAGCAGTTCCCCGGGTGAATTTATCCTCACCCTATTTCCTGTTTTCGCTCCTGATACGCTTATATGTCAAGTCACTTTCTTAATCGCTTCCTAGTTAAGGATTTTTAGAGACTTAAGGATTTGAAATCTTATTCTCTAATATGTTCTGAAAGTTGATATATTTTTTAAGTATGGTAATATATTTTCATAGTTTTTCTCATTTAATGTCCTCTGCACAGGAGTGAAGGATTTGTGTTCAACAAGGATTGCAGTCATGGAACACTGGGTTAGGGAAAGTATAGGGTGTGGGGGCCGGAGGAGGGTGGGAGGGAGAAAGAAGGCTAGATAGAATGATCACCATTCGTTTTGATGGTTTAAAAGGTTTATACTGGCATTATCTCAATAAGAACTCCATAGCCTGTGACCTTTCTTTGTTTCTTGAGATGTGACTCTCATTTCGGTTAAGGCATATCATATTGCTAAATCTGAAGTCAAGATGAAATCGTTTCATGTGATTAAAGCCAATAAATGGCAGGGCAATTTTTCTCAATGTATCGGGTGGATCACTGCCTAGGAAGGCTCTGCAAGAGGTTTTTTGAAGATGAACTCGAAGTACAGTGTTGATTTGATTGAGGTTCGTCCACCACACCACAGTCTTTTAAGTGATTTTTTGTTCTTCGTTCCCCTCCCGCAAAGGTATGTGGATCTAATCTGTTCCAAACTTTTCATCCATACTTAGTAGTGAGTTGTCAGATGCTCCCTGCAGTAGTTGAATACCTTTAATACCTCTTTCAAGAAGGATGGCATTTGTGAGAAAGTGTCTTATTTTTCTAGCTAGATAAGCATTATTTATGATATGCTATGGAAAATAAACCTTGATACTTATCTTTCTGTATAAGATGAGAATAAATAATTCCACTAAAATAGTAACATATGCTTTTTAAAGTGAGTTAGTATAAAAACATAGGTCATGGATATAATATGAAAGAGTTCTAGCCAGTAGTTGGTTTCTGTTTTTGCAGAAACCAAGTGTGGCAATGAGAGATCACTTGTGTTGTTGAGAAATCATTGCACAAGTGTCTTTAATTCAAATTTGTGGGTTATTTTTCAAGTTAATTTCAGACTGTTGGAAATAAACTATGTGTGAGATCAGGATTTTGAAATTAATGCTTCCATTTATGTGCCCTTATGTGAACACTGAAGGCCTTCATTTTTCACTTTGACAAATGAGGGTAGAATAGAAATCTCTCAAACCCTATCTGATGTTAAATATGTCAAATTCTTTGCTTCTGTGGCTAGGCATAGTGAACTAAAGTAGCGAAGTGTTTCAGAAAGGGTTAGAGAAACCTATTATCCAAATTGCTTTCCCTCCAATGCCCTTTTTGTCCCCTTTCTTTTTGGCCAGTTTCATACTGGGATGGAACCGGTGCTGCAGAGGCTGCGGGCAGCTTTGCAGCCCAGCACTTAACCGCTGTGCCACCAGGGGAGGCCCTGCTTTTAAAGTTATTTTATATTCCAGAAGTGATATGACCTTCACTTTAACAGCACAAATAATGTAGGAAATGGATGGTATTTGTTGTTCAACAATCAGAAAAATTCGTAATATTTTGCCTCCTCTTTGACTCTCGGGCTCCTAGCTTAGGTGCTCGCTCACACAGAATCATCAGAGGAGATGAAAGATGCAGGTGCACTTTTACAGGGAACATTATCTGGTAGCCTGTTACTTGAAAAACATTTTGAAAGACTGCTTTAGAGAGACAATTGATATGGGGAGAAGATAGAAAATGAGGGTGAGAGCCCAGGTTTGTTCATGTATTTGTATGATTTCATCAGTTGCCCATCTCAGAGAATAAAATATGTCTTAAGAAGAAATAATTCAGTAAAAAGGGAAAAAAAACAGAAAATAAAACCTTTACGGATTAGTAAATTCAGGAATCTAGTTTGCAATCTCTCTCCCTCTCCACCTCTCTCCATCTTATGAGAGAGAAAGAGAGATAATGACTGTCACCGCTACTGGTAACATCTCTTTAAAAATTGTGCGTACTTACTAAGAACGTCTTGCATTCATTCAAATATCTGTTTCTTCAATAAACGACAAAAAAATAAAACTTTACAGCTTCATCATGGCCTGCAGTTGAGTCTTGGCTCAAGATATAGTTGGCTTCAGGATTATATGGATGAATTGCGCATTATTTTAACGCCTGGATTATAATTGTTTTTATGGTTGTTGTTGTCTTAGAGAGAGAAAAAATATAAATTTATTAAATTTCTTTGCATTCAGGGTCTTTTAAAATCCTTATCTTGATGATTTTACTCATCATCTCAGTGGTGATAGTTATTATTTGGATGATTTGATAGTCACATGGGTTTACTCAACCTAAACCTTCGAGTGGATGAGAATCATTTTATTGGAACAACACAGCAACAGAGGAGGAAAAAAGTGGCATCATTCGAATTTCTTTAAGAAAACCCTTGGGTGTTGGACAAAGCTGTACAAAACATTGTCCATCACCTGCTTTCACGCCAAGCATAGGCACTCGCTCCTTGACTGTATTTTGCTGTTGCTGATATAGTTGTGTGTTTCCCTGAAGTAAACCCGCCTCCATGTGTTTGTAGTGTCTGATAAACTGATTCTCCATAAATGCTTAGGGAACAGACTTTGAGTTGGAGGAACAATTCCCCTTTGGTTGTTTTGGTTGTGTCACATTATGGAATTCCTTTTCCTCCTCTGCCTTTCAAAAAGGTCGCTCTCATAGAGAAATTGAATGGTTCCTGCATTTGGGATTTTGCTTCAGCACAGCCAGCTTGTGCTGAAGATCTGGAGAGGGTGGCTGGAGTCCCCACTGAGTGATGACCTTTGTTACAGTGAAATGAGATATGGGCTCTTTCTTATGAAATCCCCCTAGAATGTCAGTTCACTTTATGGCTATTCCACTTAGGAAAATCTAAAAACCTCACGGTGAAACTTCAAATCTAAAAAACTGTTAAGATAATTAAGTGCCGTTTGAATTTTAATTCAAAATCAGTTTCTTTTAAATACCCCAAAATTGATGTTGATGCTAAGTTTTTTACAAAAGAGAATAATCATGATTGATAATGTCATAGTAGTGTACTTCTTTTTACCCACTTTTTCAAATTGCAAGTCACTGCATGTTAACACACATACATACAACACATGTTTCTCAGTCCCTTACACATTGCAGCTGCCTTCCCATCAGCGTGCGCATAAGCATGCAGCTCCCTGTGTGGTGCTGAGGGCTCACATGACCTTGCCTTCCACGGTGATTGGCAGGTTTCTCCTTGACAGATATCACTTCCTAACATGTGCATTTGAGTATCTGCCTTGAGTGTTTCTTCCTCAGCCCACGGGCAGAGACTGCTGTTCACTTTCTTCATTGTTTTATGCTGAAAGCCTGGAAGAGTGTTTGCCACAATGCAAGTGCTTTAAAACAAATTGTGAAGTAAATGAGTTGTGCACTTTTAACACTGGGAATGTAAAACCAGGACAAAGGCCTATTAGTACAGCTGTTAAAAAAGACAAGTGGACCCTCACCCCAGTTCCCTGTGCTCCTCCCTCCTTCCCTCTGCAACCTGTCCTTCCTCCTCCCCTGCAGGATGTCTCTGATTAATAGTTGCATGTTTCTTTTTTCTGTTTTGTACTGTTGTTATTTTTTTACACTGATGTCTTATTTGGTTCCCCTATATCCCTCCTATAAGTGAAACCATCCTATATTTTTCTTTTGCCATCTGGCTTATTTCACTGAGCATAATTGGTGAAGGAAATTCTATGGGGACTACACCTGAAAGCAGGGAACAAATGTTGTTTAAAAATGAACAATGATGTCTAAATTAAAAAATGTATATTCTCACCAAGAAAAAAGGGCAGAAGTGTGGCCAACCACCCCTCTGTAACCCACTTCCTTCTTCTAATGGAGGGCATTCTTTGAATCTGTTCTCCCTACAGTGTTTGAAATGGCTAACAAAGGACGTGGTTTTAGTGGCTCCTCCTGGTGGGTGACGTCATTGCCAATCCCTGACCTGCCTCTAGAGATTGTCTGGACAGGAACAGTGTGTTTAGGGCATCATCCATGCAGAGTTTGGAGAACGAGACCCTTAGCAGTCAGATGCCCTTTGAGAAAATCTTGAACTTTAGAAGTCTCAAAACCTTTTCCTTCTCAAAGAAAGAATTTATCCTTTCCAATTCTATATAATAAGAGAGATCAAATTATTATTTTCTATTGGTAAAAAAATAAAATAGTTTTAAACCTACAATTACCAGGAATATCACTTCCTTTTTTTACAGCATTAGGTAATACTTATTTTTATTATCTGTATCTGTTTATCTATAAATAAAATATATATCCATTATCCTTTAAGTCCAATTAGGTATCAAATTTAACTGATAAAGAAAATCCAAACAGATCAATTATTAGCAAGGAGATTGAATCAGTAATCAAACCCCTACCAAAAAACAAAAGTCCAGCACCTGATGGCTTCAGTGGTTAATTCTTTTTTTTTTTCCAGATATATTTATTTATACAAGAACAGTGGTACAGACCAGATGCACGGAAGGATGAGAGGATTTACCAGAGATAGAGTGGGGAGCAGAACAGGCAGACGACCAAAACACACTGCTGAGGGGAGCAGCTGGCGAGACAGGAGAGGTCTGCTTCACCATGTGGGATTCTCCCCGGCCAGCTAGGATCGAACCTGCGCTGCTGAGGCTGTGGACGTCTTAACATTGTGGCGCTCAACTGCCCATGCCACCCAGAACGACTCAAAAGTGGTTAATTCTTCAAAATTAAAAAAAATTATTGATAGCAACTTCAGTTCATCCAAATATACGATTAAGAAAGTGCATAGAAAACTCCCAGTATGGAAATTAAGTAATAAAAATTTGAACCTTTACATAGTAATGCATATAGGAAGTACAGTACACATAACATCCCACTGATAGCATATATAATGTAGAAAATTCTTAATTCCAGGCAGAAAGGCTAATGATAAGAAGGAAAAAAATAGAAAAAAATGGAAAGTTTTAACTTATACGCAATTTTTATAGTTTACATTAAAGATGACAACACTTCCTAATTGAGTAAAAATATTTTAATGTAGGACTAATTAATTTTTCTCAGGATATTTTAAAGAACAGCTTTGAATGAGATTTCCAAATCAAGGAAAACATGCCTTGTTTTCAGTTTATCAACTATCCTTAATATAGCGTTTTTACCAGACTGTGTTGGGGCAGTCAAGAATTCTATCATTGGGCACTGATTTGTTAGTGGATATTCCAACAAATCTTCAAAAAATGGTTACGAATACTGAAATAAAAACTGGGCCATGAATAGCCCCCAATACCATGACAAAAAACATAATTTTAAAACATGTCCTGAAGATGTATGTGTTAGCTACAGATAAAACAGACACTCCTATTATTGTTGACAGTGCACTTTGTAACACTGCGTAACCTAGCAAAAACAATGCCTCCATTGCTTTTTGATTTGATGAAGGTTTAGAACTGGAAACAAATGCATATGAAATATGTGCACAAAAATCAAAAGAAAACCCTATACAAATCACAAGATTCATCATGGATACGGGATCAAGGTTGACATGCCAGTATCCCATGAAACCTTTTATTCCTGCAATCACAGACCCAATAGAAAAAGTGACCCACAAGGATCACAATGGGTGGGGAGTTAACAATAAAGAAACAATGAACATAGCTACGGATGCAAAAATGACACTTTGAATATTGTTTTCTAAGATGGCAGAATATTGATCAAAATAGATAAATGCTGGGTTATACACCATTAGGGGAATCTCACACCTTTTGGCAAAACTTTGCAATTGGAATAACATGTTCTTCTTACTGCGTGAAGAAGAAACACCCGTGGTGTGAATGAAGGCCCAGGAAGAAGTAATCTCATGTGATGATGAAATGTTAATATCATATGTAAAAATTGTAAAAAGACTGTGGGTAACCAAATTGTGGAGCACACATACAATGGAGCACAGAGCCATCGAGTGGAATGAAGTTGTCACATGTGCACAAGGACAAACCCTGGAAGCATTATGATAAGTGAAATAAGTCAGTCACAAAAAAATGTATGATTCCATTGACATGAAAACCTAAGAAAGGCAAATTCATAGAAAGAATAGAGTCAAGGTTATTCAGGACTGGAGGAGAGAAGGGCAGCAGGAGCCACTGCTCACTGGTCACAGAGTTCCTCCAGGTTATGAAAGATACTGGAAACAGTCACGAGAGTACGCAGCCGTGGGGATGTGGTCAATGCCACTGAACTATACACTTAAAATGGTTAGAATGGCACGTGATACGTTAAATATCTTACAACAAACATTTTTAAGTTTAAAAACTAATAAAAGTTTTTTACCTGTAGCATGACACGATTGCAGATAATATGATCAGAAGGTATGCCATGTTAAAAAAAAAAGGGATCACTGTCCTAGCAGTCGCCTCAAATTCAAGTTTCCTAGAGAGTGATGTAAAGTAGACCACCTGTCGTAAAAATACACGCAGGTAAATAACATTTAATTTCAATATTTGTGAATGAGTGACAAGATGTATCAAAATATTATAGCTTATTGATTGAAACAAGTTACAGTTTGGTAAAAGTTTAAAATATGTGAATTACGATTTTAGAATAAAGGGAATAAAAAATGTTCCCCACCAATCCATGCCATGCTTTCTAAGATTTCTTTCAAAAATCCAATGTTTGGGCCTCCCGTGGTGGTGCAGCGGTTGAATGGTGGGCTGTGAAGCTGTCGGCAGCCTCTGCAGCGCTGGTTAGATCCCAGGCCACCAGTGAGGGTCTCACCTGATGAAACAAACCTCTCCTGCCACACCCACTGCTCCCCTAAGCAGTGTATTTCGTCAGTCTGTCTGTTCTGTTCCCCGCACTGGCTCTAGTGAATTCTCTGACCCTCCCGGCATCTGACTGTGCCCAGTGCTTGTATAAATAAATATATCTTTTTTTTTTTTGAAAAAAGCCAATGTTTAACATTCCTGAGTATACAAATTCTCAATTTTCTCTAATACTGTGTAATCATTAATAACTGACAAAATTTTGGCTTTTTCTAAATGACAAGTAGGTTGCTCTCTTGCTATTTAAATACAAAGTATAATTTCAGCAAGGTCTGCTATTCAAAGCCTTTTCCCAGCAGGTGTCTCTCACCAGGCCTGGACAAAAGTATTAGCAGGTTTGCTCATCATCTGAGGTGCATGGCAGGATGCTAGAAAATACTTGAGAAATCTGAGCTAGTTGTCTTTTTCAAAAACACTAAGGAACATCAGCTTAAAGGTTTGTTTTTTCTTCCAGTGCCACCAAGCAATTTTCGGGAGCTCCAGAAACAGCACAGACGTGAAGTGAGAGCATTCTGACTAGAAAACCAAAAGGAACCCTGAAGATCAATGTCTGCCCTGAACATGCCCACCCTGGGGTGTAGAATGAGTGTTTCCCACTAGAATGAGACCCAGTATCTAGGCTGGCGGCTTCCCTTGGTGTCCCTTGAAGAAAGCTGGCTTGAGCATCAAAGAGAGTGGAGCAGAGCCGGTTGCAAGTCAAGGCCTCCACCAAGTAGCCAGGCGCGGACACATCCCTGGACAGGTCTTATCCCTCCCACCTTCTCCTCCCTCTAATCCCAGCCCCCTGGATATTCTTCAAGGCCAGGCGCTTTTCAATGGCATGAATTTGGTCCAGGAACTCGAGCATCCACTTCTGGCTGCCCGCACTGTCCTCGGAGTCCACGGTCTTCAGGTAGTACTGCAGCCCCATGGCCTTGGCTTGCAGGAGTAAGCGACTTGTCCCCGCGCCAGGACCTAGGACGGTTCCTCCCAAGAGGCTGGCCAAGTAGAGGGGCGCAGTGGAGGTATTGTAAATAGGGAAGGGGATGCTTTTCATACATGTTGTTATTCTGCCAGATGAACAGGAGTGGGTTGGAGGGCATGCGGATGCTCTGGTACCTGGCACACACCTGAGGGTAGAGGACCTGGGTTCCATTTCCCCAGGGCACAGTCAGTGTCTGCACCGCCTCGACCAGTTGACTAATTTCTGAGAAGATGACTTGATCCAGCAGATTGGCAGTGCTGGAGACCACCAGTATGGAGGCGAAGTTGTCCTCGGTGCTGGACCGAAATGGGGAGAAGAGGTGTGACTTTTTGGTGGAGAGATGTGCCTGCACGAAGCACCGCTTGCCTTTGCCCGGGAAGCCCGAATGGGTGTCCTGCTCTTCCAGGTTCTATTCCATCTCCCTGTGTAGGGAAATCCACCTGGTGCCCAGGACAGCCGTCAGCACCAGGGAGCTAGCAGCCAGCCCCATCCTCTGGAAGCCCCGGGCCAGGGGCTGCTCCAGGCAATTGGTGTGGCAGCGGGACCTCCCAGGGGGTGGCTGCTGCCCCTGGGCTTCTGGGACTGGTGAATCCCCTCTCTCAGACGGCTGGCGGGGTGGGTCTGAGGAAGGCCCCGAAGCCTGGCTCTTGTCGGGCTCCTGCCCCTCACTGGACTCCAGGACCTGCTCTGGCTGCCCCGCGGAGGTGGGGAGCTGCTGGGGCCCAGTTGCCGCCTCAGGATCTGCTCTGCTCTCAGACTCTGGCTCGGGCCAGTCCTCCTGCTCTGGCCTCTGAGCCCCTGAAGCCTCCCCTTGCTCGAACCCCCCTTGGGGTGCAACTTTGGAGGAATGGACACCCATTTCCGGAAGGACCGACCAGTTGTTCAACAAGAGGAACGAGAAAGCAGTGACTGGATGTTGCGCCCAGTCCCCTCCCCCCGCAGCTTCCAGGAGGAATCCACAGGGAGGCTGTGCCAATGGTCACAGTCCCTCGACCTTTGACCTCCGCTGTGCATGCTGGGATGCGGCAGGGGGGTGGGGGGGGCTTCCAGGGGTGTACTTTGCTGGAGAGCGGGGTCTTTCCAGCTGGCCTAGTTGGGGGAAGTGGTTTCCAGGCGGGTCTGCTCCTGCCCTTAGGATCCCCCACCTGAGGGGCCTGCATTTGCTACACTGTTATCAGTCCTGGGGTTCCCTCCTGTGGCCTGGCAGGGGTGTTGATATATCCGCGGAGAGAAGCAGAGGCCGGGAAAGAAAAGGAGAAGGACACCAGAGAAGCCCAGAGTGAAGACCTGCCGGGGATTTTCATTTTATTTATTTTTTTAGATTTGTTTATTGTTATTCAAGAACTGGGGTACAGGCCAGATGTGCTGGAGGGTGAGAGGATCCACCAGAGACAGAGTGGGGAGTGGAACAGGCAGACTGACTGAGATACACTGCTGAGGGGAGCAGCGGGCGAGACAGGAGAGGTCTGCCACGCCATGTGGGACCCTCTGCGGTGGCCGGGGCCGGGGACAGCTCCACAGTGCAGTGCTCAACCCGCAGCGCCACTGGGGAGGCCCCACTTTTCATTTTAGAAGTGAAGAGAAATCGAAATACTAATAAAATGCTAGTCATGAAAGTTGAAGTAGTTAGATTACAATCAAGAAAAGTGGATATTTAGAAGAATAAAAAATATCGCAGATAAAGAGGTGACCACATAGTGACAAATAGTTTGATTTATGGGGCAATCCTTAAATGTGTGGTGATTGTAGTCTCAAATATGTTTTTAAAATTCCAGAGCAGAAGAAAATAATGAATATTACAATGACATGCATAAATTAGAGACTTTATAAATAGAGAAAATCAGTGCAATGCAAATGACTAAAATCAAAAATGAAAGATTACCATGGATCATTCTGAAATTTAAAACAATTTTAAGAAATTACTCTGAAAATGACATACCAACAAATTGTGCACACTGGATGAAACAGACAAATTCCTTGGAATAGAAACGGTACCAAGGCCAAATGGACAGACCTCTCTCTAGGAGGAGAATGACTCAGTCAAAGAAAAGCCTCTTAGAGCATGCTTTTAACTGGGCTTTGGAAAGGCGGGTGATGTACAGTTCCTACTATAAGGAAAACTGCCTGGCATTTTCCCATGGTTGCCATCACTTTGCATTAATAGTAATTTTTTTAATGTAAATAGAAAAAGCTTTTTCATACTGTCTCCAGATTGTAAGACTACTCTATCCAAGCGTTTATGGGAATATCTTTTACAGTCTTTTAAAGGAGAAATAGATTTTGAATGTTGGTTTTCCATAAAGTCATGGTTGAAAGGGGGAGGGGGTGCTGGCCTGTTGCCTTCGGGCCTGTAGACCTTTGGCTTCCCTGGGAGCAAGGCCACCTCCATCGTGGCTGCATTCACTGCCTCCAGCCCGTGGTTGTCGTCGGGGTCATGGGCTCGCCTCTGTGTGTGCTCAGAACTCTGTCTCCCGCCTTTGATCTCTCTCTGCAGGCCAGCTGGGGCATCGCCGGCACGATGGCCCTCGGCCCCTGGGCCTTCTGCGCTTTGCTGGCAGCCTTCGTCCCGACCCCTGGGCATCTGCCACCAGCCTTGGACGGGCTCCACCCACTCCCAATGGCCGGGGCCCCTCCTGCCTACCAGCCCAGTCGACCAGGACCCCACCTGAGTGCACCTGGTCCTCTGCGGGGGGCCCTGCCTCCCCCAAGACGCACGCACCCACGCCCTTGCCCGAGGGCACACACACATACTCACATGCACACACACACAGGGCTGATGGGGCGGGCGGCCTGCACAGCCCAGCACCCAGGCCTTAAATCTGGCGGGCAGCTCGGCACCCACCCTGCCTCCACAGACTGGCGTGGCCCACCTCGGTACTCGGCCTCTGACAGCCCAGGCGCGGCAGGCCCTTGTCCCCAACCCGGCCAGCGGCTCCACAGGGCCCAAATGGACACTGGCCGCCGCAGCTACAAGCGGCCCCCTCCTCGCCGGCCTGGGGTCTCCTGGCCCAGGGCACGGCCTGCCCCCAGCCAGCGGACGCCAGCCCCCATGGCCCTGCTGGGTCCAACCCGGGTATCGGGGACGCCCGTGGGTACTGCGGGCAGGCGCCCAAACACCGGCCAGTGGGCGGTGCCAGCCAGGCTCCAGGAGAGAAGGCTGATTCTGGCTGTACCACTGGGGGGCCATGGGTTTCATTTTTTTGGTTCTGGGGATGGCAGTGGGCCCTGGGTGCGCCTTTGGCTGGCCACTGTGTGGTTTGTGCTGTGTATTTCTTGGGCAAGCTTTGGGGTTGGGCGACTATTTTTGGAGTATCAGGAGTGGGTAGAGTGCTGTGGATTATGGCAGAATGTAGGAAGGTGATGACAACAGCTAGGAAAACAACCCAACTGCTTCAAACACTGATGAATCTACCCATGTTGGGGTTTGCCTTTCATTTGGGTAGAAAGCAGGATGCTTGAATTTAAACGGGTAAATTAATCCTTGGAAACCTGGGCAGGGATGAAGGGGTGTCGGGCCACAAGTACATGGTACACAAGGCCAGCCTCCTATCCCAGCGGGCACCTCCCCAGGAATGGCCAGAAGTTGATGAAACCCTATTGCAGTTGGTGCAGCCATATATGAAATAGAAGAGACTTTAGATAATATAGTGCCTGTGAGGCAGCAGGGGCTGTATGCGGGTGGTTCTCACAGCTCTGTGAGAGTCTAGGTGCAAAGAGTGATCCAGAATCCAGCAACTGCAGGATTAGAGGCAAGATCTGCAACAGTGTTTGGTGATTCTTGGGTAAGAAGTTCAGAGAAACCAACCCACCGTTATGAAGACGCCAGACTCCTTCTCGGGAGGAGGAGAGGGAGTCTGGCCCTTTATCCGAGTGTCATCCAGTAGTGGCAAACCAAGCTGCCACCTCAGAGTTGCCAGACTCCTCTGGAAAGTAGGAGAAGGCTGGCTCCATGTTCTGGCTCGCCGGATGGTGTCTCAGAAAATGAAGCCAAAGCGGCCCATGGCCCCGGGGTTAAGGCTGCTGAAACAGCACAAATGACAGAATTTACTGCATACCGACCATACACCCAGGTGGAACTGGTGGACTTGGGCAACAATTCTGCCAGAAAGCAGGGCAACCGTTGGCATCCTGGCTGCTACATTTGAGGGATTGGGGGTGGAATGGATTATTTGTATGGCACAAGAGATGGAGAGACTGGCCTCAGGGAATTACACCCATCCTTGAGACAGAGGCTGCAGAACAGCCAGTGGTATGGCCAGGGCAATCATATCCTGCTGGAAAGGATAATGGCTGACATACGAACAGTATGGGCTGATGCAAGAGATGTGCCAGAACAGTGAGCAGATGGCAGACGTATGTCGTGCTGGTACATGTACTTCGGGAATTGGGGATGTGGCAGGCCCTGTTCATTATGAATACTCGTGGTCCCAATGGTGAGCATTTCACAGCAGGGATGAGAGATTTGGTATTAACAAGTGCCCTGTTGTCCTCATTTGGATTCCCTCATGGCAGTTCTTGCACCCTATGTGGAACGTCAAATACACAATGTCACAACGACGATAGCTAGCTTGGGTGAAGTCAAGAGCCAGCACTCTCAAACTCAGAAAGGAATATGCATAATTGTTGAACAATCAAGAGGAATGCCGAGGAGGGCAAGGAAGCTTCTTGGCATCACACAACCTGTTAAAGTTACCCAGAACCAAATGTGGACAGATTTAGTGAGAGCAGGTGTAGATCACACTAAAATACATGTGAAGCCCAGTGCATACTTGTTAGAATTACGGAAACAGCTTCAAGAAGACCAGAGGCTCACACTGTTGAGAAGGACTGCAGGCCTCAGGCATGAGCCCTCCACCTAGAAGACCACCTGCTGCCGACCCCGTCCTCGGGCGATGGCCTGATCACTTTCGAATAGGTTGAGGGCCAAGGAACCTGTCCACAGGGGCTAGGCAGGGACATGAGGCCACATGTGGAGCTTGCCATCCTCTGGTCCCCGACTAATGTGCATATGGTTTTAGCTCTGGTAGATACAGGAGCAGAATGTACTCTGCTCTATGGAAATCCAGAAAAATTTCATGGGTCTGCTTACAAACATTTGATGGCTATGGAGGCCAGAGTGTCAAGGTGACAGCAGTGAGACTATCCCTGGGGTTTGGGCGATTACCCCTGAAGGAGTATAAAGTATATGTATTGCCCATCCCAGAGTACATCCTGGGAGTGGATGTACTACGTGGCTTATGGTTAGAGATCACAGTGGAGAGTTTCTCCTTAGAGTGTGTGTGATAAAGGCAGTGGTGTGAGGACACGCTAAGCATCCGCCCATACAACTGCCAGTCCCTAGGTGAGTGACTAATACCAAGCAATCTCGGCTGGCTGGAGGCCACAAGGAAATTATGGGCACAATATCAGAATTAGAGAAAGTGGGCATTGTGCATACTGCCCACAGCCCCTACAATCCGTCCGTGCCCGGCAGTCCTGTGGGACCCCACTCTGCAACCTATCTGTTGGCAGGATGGCCACAGTCCTGGCTGCCTTCCATGTCCTCGGTGGTCTGCGCATGGACGGGGACACCCAGGGCTCAGATGACATCTCATTTAGAGCAGCTGCTGTGTAGATGACAAGAAAGCACTAGAGGTAATGCGGTGTCCCAGAGATTTCAGTCCAATTCCTTGAATGTGGATTCGATCCCAATCCATATCCACTGAGTCTTCTGAACGGCGGGTGGGCTTGTCATTTTCAAAAACATCAGTATTCTTCCCATGGAACAGAAGATTTCCATCCATTCAAATGTCCTGCCAAAAATGCAGTTCCTCGAGGCCGAGGTCTCCAGTTTGTTTGGTTTTGTTTTTTAGGTCAAGT